CATATATAGACAATCAGTATTCGAAAAAAAGTGAGAATTCATTCACGTAAATATGTAAAAAAAGCAGTATGATTCATGGTATCCTATATTATTTTTTTGTATGAGGTCCCCTAATATACTACTAGAATCTATTCCTGAAATTCATCACGTATATTTCTGTTTTGCATGTGGAGAAAATAGTTTTAATAGTTTCCCTAGCACAGTAGCTTTATCAAGTATTCAAATCAAGTATTCAAATCACCTAATAAAGCTACTGTGCTGTACAAATAAAGTTTGTGGAGATCAAATCGTGAGGTGTAGGTTTTGAAATTACGATAAATTCATTTCCACCTCCCGATGTCGCCACAGTGATTTGTTGTTTATCAGTAACTTTGAATTAATACAAACTTTTGGAATCCATATGTGATGGAATTGGTTAATACTTGATGAAAATCCAAAACACTTCATTGTGAAAATTTAATTAAACAATTTACAAAACCGCAACACTTATTTCACTATACAATAGCTTCTTCAGACTTAAGAACGCCTAAGGAAGCCATTGTACAGTGAAACAGATAGGTATTGCGATTTTGTAAGCTGATCAGTGAAAATCTCACAATAAAGTGTATTTTGAATGCCATTTACATGCCACAATCTCTCTATATTTAAATATATATTAAATCAAAATAATGAATTTTTTATGCATAAACCTGAAAAAATGTGTTACAGAAAAAACGAGTAATCACTCTTGCTGATGTTAAATCATGAAGAATATTTTCTATGAAATGAAAACCAATTATTCAGGTGAACAGAGTACATGATAGATATTCTTGAACTGTATTCCAAAATTGTTACAAAAATTGCCTTCTATGTTCTTCAACTATTAATCTGTCCATCAATGAAACACTTCACCATTGCTGTACAATTTTCAAGTGTTTTGTTAATTGCTCTGCAATTTTCAAGTGTTTTATTGGGAACCAAGAAAAAAATAGTGAGTGTGAGGTTAACTTCAAACTTCATCAGTCCCGTAGTGTGTGTGGTCTATATGAAAATGAAACATCACTGCAACTGATATTAATTGGAAAAAAAAAGAAATGGCACCAACATTTGACAAATACTTACTTATCTTTATTTGATGTTATGAAAGTTTTTATTCTTGTTCTGGGTGATGAAGGATAAGGTCCAGGTGGATTATGCTGAATATATACATTTTCATAAGGACTACTTCTTTCCAAACTGCGATGTTCTCCATTCAAATTATCTGAAGATTTGATTTCGAAACTGTCATACTGGGTGTTCGTCGTTGGATGACCATAATTGATGCTTACATTTTCATAGTTGTGGTGATTGTTTTGCTTCAGTAGTTCGTTGTGTAATATGTCTAGTGGAGAAGGAGGTGGAGTGCTGCTGTAACTAGGTGAAGGGGGGCCAAATTGACCTCTTTTGTCTCGAGGAAGGGAACCATTGGTTATAATTCTGGAAAATAAATAGTTCTTCTGTTCATTTATCTCAATTCCATAAAAGGTAAAAATGAATCAGTAAATTTGGGATTTAAGTAATTCGATCAAGTTGATCACGAAGAATGAAAAAATAAAGACACAATCCAATATTGATTAGTTACTGTGTAACTAATCCAATAAAGAGATAAAATCATTGAAATTACTTGCATCAATATTTTGTGTGGAATTTGAATATTCACTTGAATTTATTTTTTATTTCTTATTTGCCAATTGAAGTCAATCAATGGTTTTGTAATATTACTAATGATGAATGAAAATCTCCAAGTATGGTTTCATTTGAAAAACGTGAATATTTTCAAGTTTGTATTTCATATTTTCGTTAAAGTTGTTTACCTTGTTTTCATCCAAAACTTAACCATTTCTATTATGGCCCAAAATCCCAAAACCGTCAGACTTACACCATTTAATAAAGCTAATATTTCACAATGAATGGAGAAAAATTTAAGTAAGACATTAATTGAAATCAAAAGCAGATTTCTTCTACATTAATATATTAGGTGTTGTTGAAATAACGGTTTGTAACCTCCAGTAATATTCAAAAGTTATATTCTAAACACACTCTGTACCTTTTTTTGGCGAACAGAATATATCTTGATAATTATATAAAAAATATAAAGTGTGTCCACGGATGGAGTTGCTCAGAGGAGAAAAATCTTTATTATTCATTTCATGACAAAAAGTTATTCTCATAAAATTTTGTGCATCTTTTGAAAATAAGATTGACATAGAAAAAATCTGGGATCGGATGTACAGGGTGTTAGTGAAGTAATAAAACGTGAAAATGTTTCATGAGAAAAGTAGGTACCATTATTATTTTACACAAAGTTTTGTAAAATGATGAATTCGTTTATAATCTGAAATAAGGCATAAATTCAAATTTTCAGACCAAAATTTCAATTTTTTCATTTAGAGTAATCATATGGTATTTGCAGCATTCCCAAAAAAAAAATCAAGAAAGTCTTTTCAGCAAAAGTTTGCACCTAATTTATGTAAAAATGACCCTAAGTGATCTATCTTGATTTTTCGTGAAATTCTGCAAATACTCGCAAAAAGAAATAATCACATAAACCATTACAACCGCAAAAAGTTTTAAATTACTTATAGTATGGTATTATTCATTATCGTCTGAAAAAAAAATCAGCGGATGATGAGCAACTATCGCGATGGCTATTATTCAAGGTGATAATCAATGGTAGGGTTTTTCCTCATCCCTTTCAAAGTCAAGTTTTCCCTCGCCACTTCTTTTTTATTTGAGCCCATATTAGCTCGATCGGGTAACAAAATGGTAAGGAGGGAGGCGGTGTACAATTATGTTCCTCTCACGAGCAGTTTCGTCGACAACATATTTTTTTGAACTGAGGTATATGTTTCCTTGCAATATTGAGTAATTGGACTTGCCACATATTATTGTCGAACGATAAATTTTATTGAGATAGTCAGTTAATTGATATCAGCTTTTCGCCAGGCAGACTGGTCCAATTGTCTGCTGTAGTAGGAGGCATTGTCCATGACGACGACAGAGTATGGTTCAAGGTTTGGTAAAATCTTTAAAAACCAACTTTCGAACTTTTGCGCGTCCATTTCCTCGTGGTAGTCGCTAGTTTTCTTGGACTCGAAGAGGAACAAGCCGTTTTCCAAAAAACCCGAATCGCGGCCTATATGAGTTATTATGAGCCTCCGCCCTTTGCCAGCTAATACTTTTAATTCTGTTGAGTGATTAAATAAAAGCTTTTCGACATCTTGCCATACCTTTGCTTTTCTAAATTTTGCCATACCTTTGAGACAGTATGGCCCTGATTCAACCAAGCCTCATCTAAATAATAAATATTTCTACCTTCAAAACGATACTCTCGGATTTTTACAAGTAATTTCTCCGCCTCAAAATATCTTCCCTTTCTGTGAGAACACTTTTCGTACCTCTTTTCATAAATGTAATGTTCATTTGCTTTAATGTACGCAATAAAACACGGGATATTTTGGGCTTCGATTCTTCGGAACTTATTTCGGTTGTGACTTTTTTAAGACTGGGATTTCATTTCGAAAAAAAAAAATTGAATTTTCTGCGAATAGCATACATATTTGGTGCAATCATCAAACTGAATTTGTTTTCTTCCTTAAGATGTCTTTAGATAGATTATCACATTAACCTTTATTTTCTTTAAAGGTTTTAAGAATTCTGGAAAAAAATTCTCGTCGATACTTTAGTTGAGTCACTACACAGATTAACTACGTCGTTATGCAACATATTTTCATTCCTTTCACGGAGCCCACAATACATATTGTATACAGGGTGTTAATTATGTATGTACCATAAATTTAACAGACGATTCTTTAGGTAATTTTAAGACGAAATGTTCATATAAACATGGATCCGCAAATCCTTCCTTTTCAAGGAGCTAATTTAGCCCGAACGTGATTCAATTAATTAAGACCAGTGGCGTCTCGAGCGGGATTTGAACGAATATTTTTGACTTAAAAATGTACGTCACTGACTATTGTGCAATTTTCATTATTTCTTTGGATTAAGCTATTGCAAATACAACTTGCTTAGTTTTTAAGAATGTCGACCTAGCCCAAAATCCCAAAACCGTCAGACTTACACCATTTAATAAAGCTAATATTTCACAATGAATGGAGAAAAATTTAAGTAAGACATTAATTGAAATTAAAAGCAGATTTCTTCTACATTAATATATTAGGAGTGATAAAATTCCAAAAAATATACAAAAAATTAAATATATAAATAAAAACTCTGCACAAAGATGAAAGATGCACCTAGGTTCATTTCCGATACCAATTGAAACAAAACATCTATCTAAAACAATTATTTATGATTCATTCTCAAGTAGCCATTAGCCAAAAACCAACCTGACAAAACCAAAATCTTTGACTTGAGAAATCAATAGCCAGATTTTCCTACATTTATGATATTGTTGAAGATGTCCTACACTCTGTGGTTTTCTGTTCAATTTTCTTCGGTGTCAAATATGGTACTGACTTTATTGGTTATTTTGATAGATGTGTCAAACACATTTTGATCTCTTTTTTCTTTAGGTCACAAACCCTCCAGAGAGAGAAATTAGTATTGCTTACAGTGTTCAGAAAATCATTATGATATATTCACCAAGACTCAACAGAACAGAATCTCGTATCTAGATACATGCTAATATCAAGATGTCCGTCTTCAGGTTGAGTTGAAAAAGCTGAGGCTTTCTATGATTCAATTTTACTATACTATAATTCCAAAATAGTAGGCACTAAATTCTCAAAAATAACTGACGTTTTTGCCTTAATCTGTCACTTGCAGTGGGGTACGGAAATTATACTGAACAGATGAGGTGTATTGCAGTATGGCAGTATTCAAAAACTATATTCACAAATAATAATTAAATTATATTAATTATATATCTTTCACA